GCCAGGAGCACCCATGTCTGCCCAGGCGCCCCTGACCAACCTAACTGAGGTCGGCCAGGAGCACCCACGGGACGACAACGATGGTTAGCAGTCGTATTGCACTGTCTGCCGTCCGCAAGACAAGGCAAGGGGATGCTGCTGTGTAGCACTGCAGTACCGCATCTGCCAGCAGCACCCAGGAGACATACGGTGACAGTGAGCTGAGCGGGCTCCATGCTTGCCATGGTATGTTGTCTGCACGGGTAACCCAGGAAAAAAGGCAAGAAACGATTTTTTGCCATTGCTTCTACGGAGGGGGGGAGGAAGGGAGAGGGGCCTGATGACATGTAGCCAGAACCACCCGTGACAATGTTTTTGCCCCATCAGGCATTGGGAGCTCAACCCAGAATTCCAATGGGCGGCGGAGACTGCGGGAACTGTGGGATAGCTACCACAGTGCAATGCTCCGAAAGTCGACGCTAGCCTCAGTACTGTGGATGCACACCACCGACTTAATGCGCTTAGTGGAGACACACACAATCGACTGTATCAAATCGATTTCTAAAAAATCGACTTCTATTAAATCGACCTAATTTCATAGTGTAGATGTACCCTTATATGCCGACTTGCTCTTGCCTGTAAAATGATATCAAAGAGTCAATATGTCATACTACTATTGCAGTTTTTTTCTCCTTCCCATTCCTCCTCCTTCTTCTAATTTGTCATTTGTAATAGCCTTTCTCTGCCAGGTTGGGAAGAAGGAATTGTTTTGAGTGGTATTATATTCACTGATTTTTTTCTATAGTATCACAAGTGCCTTTTATAATTTTAAAAGTTGAAGCTAACACAAAAGCACACTGTAATGAGATTGATTTTAAATATAGCTAATAGAGCTGATAACTTCAGAATGTCTGGGTAGTAAAAATTCCACTCAAGAGTGTTCTTTATTTTAGCTGATTATAATAAAATAGATTATAATAATACTTAGCACTTATATGGCGCTCTGGAATTTTAGTGTCCTGTACAACATTGTGTTTGATTCACCAGGGAGCGCATTCACTCCAGGGAGTGGGTAGACTGTGTTTCTACCACTGACCTCCCTGGGCTTTGTATCACAGGAAGACAGCTTTGACTTATAGTCAACTCCACAGGACCCCGCCCAAGGGGGATGCACTGAATCAGGCATATCTAGGCACAGTGGCTGTGCTCCTCCTAGTCTGGCCTCACCAGCATTCTGGGCTGTGCCAACTGTAGACCCCTGAAAGGAACGAGGGTTGTGGGTGTGTTGTGCTGCTGCAAACTCCCTCCTTCCCTCTGGTTCCAGAGACCTTCCACCTGGCTTTGGAAAGAATGCAGTACAGTCATTCAGCAGGGCAGGCAGCAGTGGGAAGAGGAGAGCCAGTGGACTCCAGGTTTGAAGAGAGCCCATTAACTACTGTAACACGCACAGTAGCACTGACTGATTTCAGAGACTCAGGAACCAATTGGCTAAAGGCCCAATAATGATGCTATTTCAGATTACATAACCCTGGATAGGTTCTGCTTTTGTAAGTGGTAATGACCTCCTTCTGCTAATGCTATCAAAGACAGTGTATTCTTCCTCTGTATATGCCTCCTTCCTTCTCCTCCTCTCCCCATCATTTCTATCTCTTCTTTCTCTTTCTTTGGAATTTTTCTTCTTCCTTTCCCATAAAGGGGTAGCAGCAGTCATAGATCAGCTACTAGAGTTGTCTCCTCATACTAGTGCCACTCTGCCTCCAACAATCTTCCTGCTTTTGCTGTTTTCTTTTTTTGAAGGCAATGGAACTAAGTCTTGAAGTTAAGCACATGCTTAAGTGCTTTGCTGAATAGGGGGCAGCGTGCTGAGCACCTTGCCCAATTGAATCTTTATTATTGATCTGTATTATATGTATTACTGTAGCACCTTGCGGCTCTAGTCATAGACACTGTGCTAGGTGCTGTAGAAACACAGAACAAAAAGATGGTCCCTGCTTCACAGGGCTTAGTTCCTAATCACATTTGCTTCCCACCCATGCTCTTTGCATGGCTGCCTTTCCTCCCAACCCCTGATACTTGCTGTTTCCAAATTTTCCTTCTGGTGCCTTCTCTTTGTGGAACCTCCTTCCCTAAAATTTCCCAGTTGGATCCCAGGGATTGTTTCTGAAATACAGCAGTTACTGTGTTAATTTGTTTTTCCTCCTTAAGTGAATGAGTCTTCCAGCCAAGTTAACTCATTACGCACTGGAACTGGGTTAAAGGAAATGTAATTGATAGCATTCCCCTACAGTATCTCTCATATAGAAGGACAAGGAAGAATTAAAAGATTTGTACTAATGACGTAAGAAGAAGCAAGTCTGAATGATGATTTGCAAGTCTAAATAGGAATGTTGACAGCTGATACGTTGCTTAGCAGGAAATTGATTTGTTACAATGTGAGAGAGATATAGGTGAGAAATACTCAAGAGAAAATGTTTGGAAACGAAGATGTGTGAGGAAAGGATAAGAGAGCTGGGCATGTTCAATGCAGCAAAAAAGAGACTGAGGAAACTCGACAACTGTTTAGGACTAAAAGGAAGAGGGGAAAAGTTTTCATTTTTTAATGGGCAGGTTAAGAAGTAAAAGGTTTAAGCTGCAGCCAGGGAGATCCAAGTTAAATATTAGTTAAAACTGCACAAGGGGAGCTGCCAAAGCTGGTTGTGAAATTGTCATTGCTGGATGTATTTAAGGCTTGACTAGACACCATCTATTAGTGGTGACTGAATATACTGAAATCAGTCCTGTGGTGGTGCAAGGATATGAAGTAAGAGACCCATTAGAGGTCCCTTCCAATGCAGGTGATCCAATAAAGCTATGCCGCGGTAATCTAGTATTTTGCTAAAACCCTGACGTAGCATTGTCCTGAATCACCTTTAGGAGCTACAAAAACTTACTGGAAAGGATATCAAGAAAAAGTGGCATGAATTAGTTGAATTAGTCTTAAAAAATAACAAAACATGCACTGGTTGTTCTGTGTGATGTTTTGCAATATGGATCAACAAAAATAGTTCAGTATAAAGGACCATATGCTGTCCTGGATCCACAGTATATTACTTTATATGATGCTTTGGGTTCATTTGTATGCTTTCCTCAGAGAAGTTGTGTGTGAGGGCACTATGTGGGATGAAACATTCATTTTAGTGCAGTGCAGTTAAAGGGGGACTGTAGAGCGGAGAATGTACGTACTGATGTTTTGTTTATTAATTCACTTTTTTTTATTTTAAACATTTCCTTTGTTTGCAAATCCTTCTGAGCAGGTTTAAAAATACAATTTCTTTTCCTACTGATTTTGCCCTTTCATTTGTCCTTTCCTATTTCTTTTCATCCCAGAATTAATTTCTGTGCACAGACCAAGAAGTTCCTATTTAGTTTTCTTCCTTGCTTCTTCCCCACCCTTACTGATAATGTTAGCACAGTTCTCAAGCAAGGATTGGCTAGTTAACTTGTGCTCTTCCTTCTGGCTGGCTGTAGAGTACAAAGCACTAGAGGGACTACAGAAAGTGTAATGTAAGAAAAAATATACTCCTCTATTGAGTAATGGATTTTAAAAAATTATCTGAGAACCTACTTCTTCAGATTATAAAACTGTTCTGTTTTCCATGGCAGAAAATGATTAAAATTCCACCGTGCAACAATGTCATTGTTTTGGCTCATTCTTGGGGAAGTGGTTTGTAAGTGACCGCTGTTCTCCTATGGAAAAATGAAAATGCAGAGTGACCATTTATCTTACACAATTACTTTGAAAGGTATGTCCAGTACCCTATGTTTATGGACAAGAACTAACACGTTCTTAAGTCTCAGAATATATATGCTATTTAAGGCATTAAACATTGCCAAAAGACTGTTAGTCATTTTTTGCTGACAAAATCGAAGGGGCTGATTATTTTGGGACTTCTAAGTGTGAACAGAAAAGTGTCAACTATGAAGGTAGCTGTGAGGGTGTAACCTTAACAATGAGTTGTTTTACAGTGTTTTAAATTGGTCCCATGGCCACAGTTCTCAAGTTTCCTAAGAATGAAAGTAGCACAATGTTGGTTATTAGTGTGAGCAACGCCTATATTTTGCAATGGAGCTGCAGATATAATATAGCATTGTTTTAGTAGTAGAGTTGGGTTTACAGGGCAAATATATAAAGTACTATGGCTGGCTTCTTTCAGACCATTTCAGTATACCTCTTTCTAAACAGATTATGGCACTGAGACCATTCATTAGCTTTGTAACATCTAGTTCATTGACTGTGCGTACACTGTTTATTACAGGCCTAATAAAATTTAATCTTTATCTTTGTAGAGGTGTCTCATACTAGTAGTTTCCTGCAGTGAACCCTGTGCGTTTAATGTTATTTGGACTCAAAGATTTTGTGTACCATAAATACCATTCCTTTTTGAACTTTTGGTTCTGTGATTTTTTTTTTTTTACTAATAGAGAAACTGGAAATTACAAAATGGCATGGTTCTTGTCTTTATTAATTAAACATATTAATTATGTTTAATTAATAAAACATAAAAGCAGTTTGGTAAAGGAAGTATTGTCAGTTATATTGCTATACTAAGATAAAAGACTCCTATAGTGTAAAGGAAAAAAAAACGTAACCAGGACATTCTGCTGTATTTCTATAGTTTTGATTTATACTTTCATGGAAATGAGAAGTTTCATTACCATTAATTAGCCGTGATGATAATAGAGTGCAGAGAAAGTACTTCAAAGTAAATTAAAACATGCATCTAAAATAACACCTAACAATTACTGATAATTTTTGCCATAGACTATTTCTAGTGAGGAAGTCTTGTTTGTAAACCACACCTGCTGAAACAAAATGATTTATTTTACTTTCTGTCACAAAGCTTCTCTTTTGTGAATCAATTTCCAGAATTCAGCTTTTTGACTCATACAGGCTTTTATTTATTAATAATCCTATGTATCTAAATGGATCACTTCCAATTATATGCCATCAATCAGGGCTTGAAAAAACCACTAATTTTCCCTCTTACCTGAGATGAGAAGGAAGCTTTCCCAGGCAAGGACCATCAGCTTTTTTAGAATCCAAGCTTCCCTTAAAAAAAAAAAAATCTAACTTAGAATTGCAAGAATAACTTTTCAAACATGAACTACACGTAAATTGATTCAGTGCTATATGCTTGAGTCTATAAACTGACAGGTCCACAACCTCTGCCGCTTCTCAGAGTCTTGCAAAGACGTGGACGGAAGAGTTTAATCACATACAGTAAATTAGAAAAGAGAAGATGTACAATATATTAACATTTAAATACAGTGTATAACAGGGGTCGGCAACCTTTCAGAAGTGGTGTGAGAGCCTTCATTTATTCACTCTAATTTAAGGTTTCGCGTGCCAGTAATACATTTTAACATTTTTAGAAGGTCTCTTTCTATGAGTCTATAATATATAACTAAACTATTGTTGTATGTAAAGTAAATAAGGTTTTTAAAACGTTTAAGAAGCTTCATTTAAAATTAAATTTAAATGCATAGCCTCCCAGACCGGTGGCCAGGACTTGGGCAGTGTGAGTGCCACTGAAAATCAGCTCGCGTGCCGCCTTTGGTTGTCTACCCCTGGTATATAACAAAGAGTGCACAACTGTGCCATTACTTTACATTGCATTGTCTTAAGTGGATCTAGTGATGGGTATTTTTCATCCTGGGCTAGTCCACATTCAGTAAATTTTTCCAGCCCTGTTATAAATGATTACAGATCAGCCCCACAAACTTCTGAATACTGTATGTGACCTGGTTACTGGGTAGTTACTGTATGGGCATATGTTTACTATATGCATATATTGATTTGGTTCACTAGCTGTTAGAGAACTAACAGGAAATCAACAAAATGTTTCTAGATAAGTATCCACCAGGTAAAATTGGCAAGGGTTAAGAAACCATACTAAGCTTGAAGATGCTACTTCCTTGGTTCTAGCCCAAATTTACATAGCTGTTTTGCCAAAGCTGGGAACATTGAGATTAAAAGGATTTGAAACAGTTAAAAAGAGGCTCACAAGAGAGAAGGGGAGGCAGCTGTCAGGGGCTGTTCCCGGGGTACAGGCTGAAACAGAGGTGGGTCCAGTGGAGGGGTCTGAAGTAGTTGGGTCTTCCTAAGTTTTCAGGGGATAGTAAGCCCTAGGTGTGAGAGACATATATACAGACTGTTTTACTGCTGTAAAAATCATTTTTCTTATGCTTTGCTATGTTTCTGCTTTTAAGATTAAACAATACTTTGGTGTGAGGAAGCTGTCTGGTCCCTGTATTAACCACTGGCCATAGCTCCCACAGGGAAGACTTCTGGGGGCCAAACCTAGTCAGGCCTGCTGAGCAATCATGGCTAGTCAGAACCTAGTCTGAGTGGGAGAAATGTGGTATCCCACTCCAGGACAGGTGAAGGCAAGATGCCTAACACCTGAGAGGGGGCACTCAGAGAAACCAGAAGAGAAGACAGAGATCTAGCCCTGTGTAAAAATGATCAGACAAGAATGGCAAGGGCTGTGGGGGAGTGGGAGGAGAATTTTTTTTTTGGAGGGGTGTCTCATTGTCCAAACAAATTAATTTTCAGGCTACAACCAGCAAAGCACAAAATCTACCTAAGAGAATCTACCCCACCACAAAGTCCTCCCCAATAAAGCTCTGTCTCTATCTTATTGATTTAAAATGCTCCCATCACTGTGCTATCTAGGCATTGGTTTATACTATTATGAAATATTGTCTGAACTATCATTGTATAGAACATGCATATTAATTGGTGTACAACTGTTTTAATTAATGTAACTTCTTTATTGTTTCACCAGATTTTGTACCTCACTATTTGGTACATAGGGTTTAGTTTTTTTAAGAGGATTATTCATTCATACATAAAGGGCTGGCCCACAACATTTTGGCATCTGAGGCGGGGAGCTCAAATGTCACCCGCATGCCCTCTCACTTGGGCCAAAACTTTGAAAGGTCTCAATTCTGCCTTCTTCCTGTTTTACTGCTCTGCTACCTACCCCAATAAAGGAGAAATAACAACTTAAAATGCCTTGTTCAAAAATTTTAAGTAACACTTAACTTTCAAATGCCTGAACACCAAATGTAACTTTTCTTGTCTGCATAGTAAACACTGGCATTTTTATGTTTGAATAATCAAAGTGGTTCTTTCGGTGCCTTCTTAATTGCAAAGATTTGAACTGCTTCCTGAAGGTCCACAGTCTGGGCCAGCTCATGCTCTGTTGAGATGGTTGCAAGGCCGACCAGCCTCTCCTGTGTCATTGTGGAGCGTAGATGTGTTTTTATTAACTTCAGCTTGGAGAAGCTGCGTTCTCTACTGGCAACTGTTACAGGAAGTGTTAGAAGTATGCGCAGAGCAACAAAAGCATTTGGAAAGAGGGTGGTCATCTTATTTGTGCACATATATTCCAGAACAGCCTTTGGAGTTGATCCTGCTGAAATGTATCTTGAAAGGGCTTTCAGTTCATCACCTAAATCACTTCCATCAATATCGCGCATGTCATCACGTGTCAACACTGTTTCTAGTGCCCTGCATTGCTGGTGCATGTCTTCAGGTATAGTGAGGAGTTTTGGAATATCATATTACATCCCAAATATACTGCTGTGTTCCTTGAGCTGCATGAAATGTTTTTCAACTGACTGTATTGCACAATCTAGCACCTGGTTAAAGAATTCAACTTTGAATTGTTGTTTGGAGTCTCTTATGGGATTATCCCGTGCCTCGTAATCAAAATGTCTTCTTCTTCCGTGACTCTTGTATTCTCGAATGGGTGGGAAAATAGCTTCAGTGTGAAGTTCCTCTGCCAACTTCTGTGCACTCTTCAGAAGGTTTTGAAATCCTTCATCTGACCGGTAAGACTGTAGGTATGACTTTGCTTTGTCCAGTTGTTCCATTGCTCCAGATATATCAGGGTCAACACCTTGGAGTCTCTTACTTACAACATTTATTTCAGACAGTATGTCGTGCCACAACACTAAGCCACACGGAAATTTGAAGTTATGTATGTTTCTGGTGATTCCATTTCCCTCTGCCACTATCCTCCAGAATGGCAACTATAGCATCATCTATCTTCTCAATTTGGTGTTTGATAGGTTTATCACCTCCACTCGACTTTCCCATCGTGTGGCACTGAGTGGTTTCAGTGTCAGAGAGGCTGTTCCCAGATGTTCCTTCAAAATTTGCCATCGATGAGTTGATGCAGAGAAAAATACATAAATGCTTTGAATTACATTAAAAAATTCAGCAGCCTCACTAGAAGCTGATGCTGCATCACTGACCACCAAGTTCAATGAATGAGAACTGCATGGGACAAAAAAATCTCAAGGGTTTAACTCTTGGATCCATGTCTGCACTCCTCTGTTCTTTCCTCTCATCTTGGCACTATTATCGTAGCCTTGACCTCTCATGTCAGCTATCGCAATTCCCGTATCTTCCAGCTTTTTAAGAAGCACATTTGTCATACCAGCTCCTGTAGTATCATCAATGTCAATCAATTCTAGAAAATGCTCTCTGATAGTCACCTTTGCAGAGACATTTTCATTAGGTTCTGTTGTTGTTACAAAACGCACCATTAAAGTCATTTGTTTCATATGGCTGATGTCAGCTGTGCAGTCCAGAATAACAGAGTAATATCTTGCTGACTTCAGATCTGCCACAATCTTCTGTTTGACTTTTGTTGCCAGTAACTGTATGATCTCATTTTGAATTGTTTTTCCAAGGTAGTGCTGTGTGTACATTTCTTGGGTGGTGACTCTTATTAGATGCTCCTGGAGTGCAGCATCAAACTCAGCCATCAGCTCCACAATTTTAAAGAAGTTTCTATTGTTTGGCACATACAGCTGATCTGAAGTGCCACACAGTGCTAGGTTTTGGGTAAGAAGCATTCTCACAATGGCAATGAACCTTTTCAGAACATTTTACCAGTAAAGAGATTCTGATGCAATCTTCTCTTGATGCTGATCATCTATGGTGGCCTTTACCCTTAGTCTCATCTTAAGCTTTTTCCACCTATGGAATACTCTCTGGTGATTTGCTGCCTTCTCATGGCATTCCAGATTTCTAGCCAGATTTTTCCAATCCTTTGTTCCTATAGAACCCAATGTGGCTGGAATATTAGACTGGAAAAGTTTGCAACAAAAACAGCATGCAGCATTCTGGGTTTTTGAGTACATAAGCCATGGCCTCTCCACTTTGTCACCATTGGGGATTTCACGCCAGTAATGTGTTGGATGGAAACTTCTATTTTCATTATCTTTGGGGAACATGAAGTTTTTCACTTGCTGTGGCCCATGCAGTACAAGGAAGTCCCTCAGGCTAGGGGGTCCACAGTCCTGGATCATCTAGACGTAAGGAACTAAACTCAGCAGCAGCTATTTCTTGCGCCTCCACCACACTCTTCTCTGATCTACACTTTTCTTCAGGAATGTGCCTGGTTACATCCACTTGAGATGGAGATATGGATGCTGCAGTAGCTGCCAGGTCACCTGCACTCTGACTAACTGAAAGATCAGGCATCTCCTCACCACTCACATCCTCACTGGGGCCGGAAGGCTCACCGTGAACATTTGTGTCTATGTATCTCAGGAGAGCTCCTTCCTGCTTTCTTTCTTTTTCTGAATGCTGCCCCAGAGGGGCGTTTTCTTCTTTCACTCATGACTGCTGTTCTGTGCCAGCTATAGTGGCTCTCAACACTCAATTAAAGGGGTCAAATAAACAGGCTGGTAGCAGGGCCTGAGTGAGGGAAGATATCAGCGTCTTAAGGGCCTAACTGGCTCCTACTACTTCAGTTGACTGCCTGTTCTCCTCAAGTGGGTGCAGGGAAGCAGCAGGAAACAGGAAGCTCCCTGAGAAGCTGGTGTTAATCAGTCCAGGCTCCTGGGGGTGCTAGAGAGGTACCTGAGAGGCTCCTCCTCCTCTCTCTCCCTGCAGCTCCTGCTGCTTTCTGTTATTCCCCTCTCACCTTTTCTCGTGCCTGCCTGTTATATCTCTTGTGCCCTCCTTCCTCCAGCACAGCACTCCACCATCTCTGTGCATCTAGAGCAGAGAGAATACATATGCACCAG